AAATCCTTAAAAAAATTTAAATAATACACCAATATCTTGGTCAAACATTTAAAAACAACTTTCAGCCAGAGCAATAATGAGTATAACAGCCAAAGAAAAATAAGTAATAAAGAAACTGAAAGTGACAAAACAAACAGGTTTGTGTCTTCTTTGGTCAAACATGTAAAAGAAACAACTAACAATCCCTTCAAATGATTCAGAAAGTGCAATTAGGAAATCTACATATAGTGTAAAATAAATAATAAAGCATGACGTCACTCAGAGCACAAAGCATAGAATTAGACTGAATAGATTCACCCTTATAGATTGGGAAAATCGTCACGATATCTGATCAAGAATTTAAGTTTGTATTTTTTGCAACATCAGGACAGATATGGATATTAATATCAGACCTGTGCATCTCTACTTAAAACCACTTATTTAGAAAGAAGAACGGGGCCTTTTTAAAGCATTTCCTTGTGTTTTTCACATAAAAACACAATTTGGTGAACTCACCTCTGGCCCGCAGGTCGTCCTCCTCTTCTGTCTCCATGTCCAAGTCTTCATAACCAACATTAGAGGGCAGCTTCAGAGAAGTTGGGCTCCCAGGGGCCTTACTGTTATCCTAAAGCAACATCGTCCACAGATAACATCATCATATGGTATTTAGTAAACAAAAAAGCACAATTTTAACATTTTGCAACTGCTGAATCTTGTGCAGCAACACATGCAACCAATACAAACTGGGCTGTAACATTAATCCTTGTTGAAAAAGTGAAGGCGGCTCGTACCTGAACGTCATTCTGCGATAAGGGAAGAGGTTCGACGATGGCGTTTGGAGAGTGAGGACCTAATTTACGCTCCAGGAAAACCTCTTTGCCGCAAGCGTAGCACCAAACCCGAAGCGTCGTAAGATTCACCGTCAGGTTGTGCCTCGTCTCCTGCACAAAAACCAATTAAAACAACATTAATATCCCTGCTAGACAATCAAAGAGCGATTCCAAAGGAGTCCACACTCAAATATTTAAAATAAAATGTAGTAAATAACATCTCCTATAACGGAAATGCACAGAAATGTTTGAGGCTGGTGTAGTTTTAGATGGTTTCCTCTGGTGGCCTTGTTTCATGCAGCTGTTTGCTGCAGGTGAGACACACAGCCGATTTATCACAATGCAGTCTACTGAGGAAAACAGAACAGTCTATTAATATTTATTACAATGAATGATTTCAGAACAGTAAAATCATTTGCACTATGATGTATTTCTTTTCATAGAAACAATCCCTGTTTAAATAGCTCGGTGTTTAATATGCGTTTTCTCTGACAAATATATTTATCTTGGAAGTCAAAGGTCAAATTTAAATAGAGTTGAACATGTTCTAGTTGAAGAACTGTTTTGGTTCTAACAAATATTATCAATATCTGCTAATATGTTTCTTATTTTAAGTGTTCAAACACAAAACACTGGCTTTAAATGATCAGCTAATTTTGGCTAGATGGTGTCATAATTCATATTTCATTAGATCTGAAACATATTATGCAATGAGTTTAGTTTGAATTTAATGTAGGGCTGAAATGATTAATCAGATTAATCGTGATTAATTGATTTTTGAGATACTCAACTAATTCAGTATTTGATTAATTGTTGACTGGATTAAACAGATTTTTATAAATAGCAATTTGCAGAAAGAAAAACACATTGAGAGTAGTAATTAAGCCAAAGTAGTCCAAAAAACATATACACATATTGGAATTAAGATTAAAAAAATAAATTTATTCTACACAAAACTCCTCAAGCGAAATAGTTTTAGCTTCACCTGGTTCAAATTCTGTAAAACAAAAAGAGAATAATCTCCTATTTAAGATACCAGATTATTCATCGGTTAATACAAAACATATGCAACAGATTAGCGCTACACCGTATTAATATTAAGTCAAGCAGAAAGAGCTTTTCACATGTTGATGCTAGAAGGATTTTTTAGCTGCAGATGCATCCTTTGGTGCAAATGACCAACTGTTCACTAAAGGAATGCTGTTACTGCATTTTAAGCAATAAGATGTTCATGTTCCTATTTAAAATTTGTATTAAATTATTTGTTTATTTGCATCTTTTAACATATTTGTAACATTGTACAAAATGTGGTTGTATAAAAAAAAATCTGCAGAATGTGCAGATCCAATTTTTCATCACATTAACCAGCAGAAATAATCGATTACTAAAATAATATCCCTAATTTAATCTGGACTGAATTAGATCCTACATGACTGGATTAACTGTTGTCCAAGAATTGTGAATCTGCATCTTTTATTTCACCCTAAAATGGCTTTCAAGCCCTGTTTTCATTGAGAATATAAAAACAATTGAAACGTTTGGACTTGGAACACAGATGTGACGTTTTGGCTTATCAAGGCAAATGGATTCACAGACGTCAACACAAGAGACTTAACTACATTCGGGCTGAGATTTTAGTGTCTTTTAGTGTCAGCTGTGTGCCGTGGAGGAAAATGTCCGAGACCCGCTGACCCACTGCCGCCCTGACACACAGCAGCAGTGAAACAGTTTGACTGAACATGAGCAGCAGCCAACCAGCAGAGCCTGTATTATTCATAAGGGAGTCCATTAGCCTTTGCGCAGCGGGCCAGGACAGATTTGGCAAAAGCGACACACCAGATGGAACACGGTACCCAAATCCCCCCCGACCCATTTAAAAGATTCATGAAGGAAAATGTACGAGGCAAACCATGAATAAGAATGCCGTATGCCTCTTCACCAAACCTTATAGTGCCTTGTGTTGCAGTTAACTGCTTTGACACTGCTGTCAGTTTATTTCAATTAGAAAAACCAAAATATTTCTACAACTATTCCCTCGTTCACCCGTTATATTCATCAGCAAAGATTAATTTGGGGTTAAGTGCCTTGCCCAGGGGCACATCGACTTGTGGCAGGAGGAAGCTGGAATCAAACCTGCAACCTCCCGATCACAAGACAACAACTCTTCCCAGAGAGCCACAGTGGGAAGAGTTGGTGCTGAAATGTGCTATACTGATAAACCTGACTCGACCCCATCTATAAAATATTAACAACATAAGCAGCCACTGTTTGAGTTCCTTTCTACAAATAGTGTTCACTCTTTTTAACACTCAGATTTACAAAACTTTCAGGATTGTTGATCGACTGAAGGATAGATATATTTTTCTTTAATTACGTAAAGCACCTTGAAATGCCTTGCTGCTGAAATGTGCTATACAAATAAAATTTGATTGATTGATTGATTGAGTGGCCAGTTAGACGGTTGACCAACGGATGGACAAATACTTTAACCTTAGCTTCCTTATAAACAAAACAAAAACTTCAGAGTTCAGCTGAATAAGGAATAAATTTCAAACTGTAATATCAGTAATAGTTTCTGCCAGATCCAGACAGGATCTGGTTCCTGGATGAATGGTGAAGAAGATTAAACAATTTCTCCTTGCGGACATTCAGCACACAGAAAGCATTTCATACAACATTTAAATATGCAGTTCAATACAGAAAGAAGAAGATACCATTTTAATCCTGCACAATCTAACTGCAGTGACAAGGCACAGCAAATTACATGTTTGCCTTTTAAATCGACCTTTACTCCTAACCCCAATTAGCCCTAATGTTCTGGGGAGGAAAGTTCCAATCAAGAAGACAAGAGGCTGAGTAAACGGCAGGACTGCAAAGAGGAGTGGTGGATACTGTAACCATGGAGCTGAGAGCGAATCTCCCCCACTTCCCCGAGGATCGAAAATTAATAATGGATGATCTGCTGCTGAAACCGAACTGAAAGCGGAGATCTAGGCAGAGAGTCAGTTCAGTGCACTTCAAAGGGCTAAAAGGATGCACGTGCTGGATGTGAGTGTGTGTGTGTGTGTGTGTGTGTGTGTGTGTGTGTGTGTGTGCGTGTGTGTGTGTGCGTGCGTGTGTGTGTATGATCACAGGGAGAGGAGGTTAAAAATACATGCAGTGCTGTAGGTGGTTTTATTGCTCGTAATGGCTCCTGGGACTCTGATGTGGTATTTCAGGGACTTCAACATGCACCTCCTCTGCTTCCTCACTCAATCCTCCTCTTTTAATAGTTTCAAGTTAAACACCACAGTCTCGATGTGAATCTTTTTCTGGCTAAGATGCGTCGTAAAGGCTGGGAGATCTCTCACCTGGGAATGGACTGTGCTGTGGTCAGCATGGGATTCTCCACAGCCTACATATGCACAGCCGTTCTAGACAGGAAAAGCGGCAGAATGTAAAAAAACAGAGTTTAATTATGAAAACCCACAATGCCTTACAAAAGTATCCATACACTTAGAACTTCTCAGCATTTTGTCATTATAAGATTCTACTGGATGATAAATTGTCCCATAATTATTGCGATAAACAATAATATTGTCATTTTGAGACCATTTTCCACTAAAGATAATGGAAGTTTAAGCCTGTCGCAATAAGGAATAAATCAATTAATTGCATAATAAATTAAAACAAACTGAAAGATTTCCATTTGGTTTATCGTTTTTCCCTTTTCTTTCTAACAAAAAGTGGATGATAAAAGTCTTCAGTCTGACGCTTTAATTTCAATTAGCCCTTCTTTTGAACTACAATTGTGTTTACAGAAACTTTATGATTAATTTTTGTTTTGTTTCTTTATTTTGGATATTTTTAATGTCTTCCAGTAAAAGTGTGCCATTGCAGGGGGGGGCGCGGGAAGCGGTCTGGATGCAAAAAACCCCCCCAAAAAAAACATGAACACTGTATGTGCTGGGTTTTTACCTTAGAATGGCCAACTCTCTGTTATTCCTATGTCAATTTGATACAGTAGAGGCTTCCACACTTCCCATATCTGTGTCCTCTGTCACTTTTATCAGCAGTTAAAACTGTTTAATCCGTTGTTAACATGTTGTAACCTGTTTTTCCGAGCCGCCTTTAAACGCAACATGAGCACTACGACGCTCGCGCTGGGTTTCCACCTGTGAAGGAGACCTGCTGTTGCTGTGCGGAGCTACGTAGGTTTGGGTTAGAATCACGGCAGCAAACCAGCAAAACGCAAAGAACTATTGACAGTTTTTCCCCCAAACTAACAGACTGTTGAGTAAAGCTGTTGGATGCAGGTAATGTTAGCTAAAAGATGAGTAGCTAATAACAATACAGAACCTTAAGCTTAACAAGTACCTTGTAGGCTACCGATGTTGGTGTCTATGTCCAGCTGCGTACATTAATTTTGCCCCCCAAAAAGTCGATTCACAGCCCCCTTTCCCTCTGTTGTCAGAGACAGGGAGTCTGTAAGATTCCTCCCCCCACCCACAAACGCTATTTGTAATCCATAGGGGGGGGCCCAGAAAATGTTTGGGAACCACTGCACTAAAGGAATGCTGTATTGTTGCATTCTTGGCAATAAAATGTTTATTTTCTAATTTAAAAAACAAACAAAATTATTTAGTCGATTTCCATTTTCTTCTGTATTTCTAATATTGAAAAATAAATTTAAGAGGTTAAACGAAAAATCAGCAGAATACGTCCATTTTATTTATACGATTAATCAGTTAATCATCAGAATAATCAATTACTAAAATATTCATTATCTGCAGCCCTGATACAATATAAATAAAAAAACACTGCAGTTAGTCGACGCAGAAGCATAAAAACCTTTGTTCCTGGGGTATGAACGCTTTTGCAAGGCACGATATCCATAGTCGGATCAGCTACCCAGCAGGCATCACCTTACCTCCAAACAAGCCCACAGGTTTGGTCCCCTGACTTTACAGTCTTGACATTGGCCCTGAAAATGAGAGGTAAAGATGCTAAGTCATGGGTGTCCAGCTCCAGTCCTCAACAGCTGCTGTCCTGCCGGTTTTAAATGGACCTCGCTCCGATTTAAACGATGCAGCTGCCTTCATAGAATGTCATAAAGTTCTGCAGAGGTATGCTAATGAAGCATGATCACCCTGTTTACATGACAATGATACAACAAAAATGGAATTTTTGTTCCATTTCTGTTAACACATTTACACGAAGATATTCTAATTACAATTTTTGTTTACATAGTAACGGCACACATCGAAAAGGTGTAATGCCTTCGCCAGGCCACTAGTTGGTGCTGGGGGTTTTGAAATCAGGTGTGTGGTATTAAAAAAAAGTTCTACTTGAAAGCACGTCGATTCCCATCAGATACCGTTCCCCCAGATACTGGGGGGAAACAAGCATTATGTGTTACTGATTAGGGCGCAGCTGGAAAAAAGTGGACTGACTGTAGACACCACTATGCTAAGCAATTAGCACAACAGAAATAAAACTATGAATTACAGTTTATAGTAGTTTAATTACTCACATGTGATTTCTGGATAAGTTCCTCCTTTGTGACTTCCCCCACACAGTCCAGGTGGGGGCAGTCACAGCTGGACGCTGGCGGCATCCCTCACTGTCCAGTCTGCAGTCGAGAAGAACAAGCACATCAACACCGTTTGGTAAAATTAGCTTTAAAGGTTCAGTGACTTCCTGTGTTTTTCTCAAAAGGTTGCGCATAAACCCTCCCTTCATCTGATAGTAGACACAGAAAACAACATTAATCAGTCTGCTGCAACGTGACATCTCCATGCATGACGAGTTTTTCCACGCCTGCGTGTACAGAAACATTTAACACACCGATATGTTGAGTAACGACTCAAAAAAAACATCAGGTCACACCTGGATATATGAAGTCTATCTTAACGGCATATTCCGACTCCAGGAGTTGACCTTATTTACTGTTGAAGCATAAAAACCTACAAGCCAAAGTGGTGCAACAGGAACGGCGAGGCTGCAGTGTGCAAATACCTTCTCAACGTTCCTGATCATTGTCAGCCATGTGAGCGGCCGCTTCGTTTAAACAGGGCAGCGGTTGTAATGTTATCACAAAGATAAATGAAACACCGACTATAAGAGACGCTAAACTCAAAGGGAAAGGAATGTTAAAGTCAGAGCAACACGGAAGAAGAAGAAAATGGTAGATTGTTTTACATTAAATTAGGGCTGGAACGATTAGTCGTGATGAATCGATTACTGAAATAATCGTCAACTAATTTAGTAATCGATTAATCGTTAACTGGAGTATATGACTTAAAACGGGCCATTTGCTTAAAAAACATGCTTAGAGTAATAATTAATCAAAACATGCACAAAACATATTATATATATATATATATATATATATATATATATATATATATATATATATATGTATATATATATATATATATATATAATGAAATGTTTATTTTCTATTTTAAAAAACAAACTTTTAATGTATTTCTGATGTTGTATAAAAAGTCTTAAGCGGTTAAATGAAAAATCTGCAGAATGTGGCAGTTTCTCTATCCGTTTAATCAATTAATGATAATGATAATTGATTAGTTTAGTTTGGTACAATCCAATATAAGGACGTAAGACGTGTCTGCTAAGGATTATAGCAAACATGTCTAAAGACTGTGATCTAGTGAGATGAGACCAAAGTTGAATTTCTTTCCCTTCATGCAAGATGCTGTGTGAGAGAAAAACTAACATACCATCCCCACTTTGGAACACGGAAGTGGCAGCATCATGCTGAAAGGACAGCGAAGCTGGCCTGAGTTGACGGGAAGATCAATGGTGCTAAATAGAGGGCAATCCTTCAAGAGAAGACGGTGGCAGAGGTTCAACTTCCTCAAGTGAGGCCAGTTCCTGTTGATCTATGTGTCAGAATGTGTCCCAGATAAAATCCACACCCAAATCCAACTGAGAATTCAAACTGGAAGATTGATTTTGCCACACTACTACTATCCTTCCAAGCATCTCTGAACTTGAGCCATTTCACCCTGGAGAACAGCAGTAATTTCAGTCTCTAGTCGTGCAAAGCTGGTTGACAGATACCCCAAAAGGCCTGCATTCCAATTAAATACACTGAAGTTTGTGGCTGAACTGTGACAGAATGTGAAACGGTTCAATACTTTAACAACAAACTACATTATCTGGACAATTCATTATTTACTCATTTCAGTGAGGATTTATGTTCATTTTGCTCATCAGAACTTCTTATTGTTTGCTGATCAGTAGTCCAGAAACAGTTACATTTTATTTCTTAGTATGTAATTATACAAATTCAATTAAATAATACTTTTGTTGCTGTAACTCATCGTAGCAGTCAGTCTTCCAACAAACTAGAGGCCTCTGACTGAATATTGTTGCTGCAGGACATGCCAACAGCTCATTATCAAGGCAGCAGAGACAATATCCCATGGCAACATGTCCTGCATGACACAATAAGTCGTTGGCAAGCACTGCTAATCCACCCTGTCTGTTTTTGCTTCTCCTCTTTAAATTCCTGTCTTGTTTTGTGGATAGAAAGCCGGATTCACAAAGCCTCCTTTTCAACTCCTGTGGGACTATTTGAACTTTTGAGATGCTAATTAGGTGCCAGAAGATGTAAAAACTAGCCATGATTACACATCAAAACAACTGTCTGAAAGCAAAAATCCCAAACCAGCACATCGTCAAGAAGAGGCAGCATTCCACGGGATTTCTTCTCCTCTACAAAAACTTCACAAACCAACAGATGAATATTTGTAAAGCTACAGACAGAAAGAACATGTGAGGTGGGATGATCAAATGTCTTGTTTGAGGACCAGTTGCATCAAACAGGCAATCGTCACCATGCGTGCAGAAATCATGGTTCTTTATAAGTTGTGACATAAAGCAGTGATGTTAGAGTTTAAAGGGACGGTAAACAGAGGAGCAATGAAACAGAAATAAATCAGAAAACCTCAAATAAAGAAGCATGTGCACAAAAGATTAAAGCAGTTACTTAACTGCATAAAATAAATTCACAATAAGAAATTTTACTGGACTATAAATTGTCCTTCAAGTTATTGCGATAAATGATAATATTGTTGTTCTGAAACCATTTTCAAGTAATATCATGGTAATGGCATAATAATGCAAGAACACATTGTCAAAGATTAATAAACTTTAAATTGTAATGATCATTGAACCCAGGAACTGGAAGACATTTTAAATATCCAAAATAAACAAAACAGAAGCAGCAAATACATTTAATTATGAAGTGTCTGTAGGCAAAATTAACTAAAACAAAAAATAACCAGTTGAGACTGGAGAGTTTTGTCATTTAGTTTTTGTTAGAGAGAAAAGAGAAAAATGATAAATCATGCAAATGGAAATTAGTGAGCTTGCGTTAATTTATCATGCAATTAATTGATTTATTGTTTTTCAAGAGTTTGAAAATAATTTATTATTCAGCTATTCACATATAGTGTGACTTTAACAAATAAAACACACGTGGAGGTAAAAACTGAAAAAGTAATATCTGCAGACTAGAAAACTTGCAATGCAACGAACTAAAGACGCAGCCACATTTTGTGCAGCACATCTGCAAACTGTCAGCTGCGCTGCGATTTACTTAACATGTTTAAAATATATTGCACCGTCAAAGCATCATTTAAAATTAAAGGCACAGCGGCGGCTCTTTAACAAGACATCTGAAAGGTTTATCGAGCTAAACGCTATAAAGCACAAGCTATAATCCTCTAATACATTTATGGTTGTGATTTAGGAGGGTGATGGCTTTTAGAGTTATTCACAGCATTAAGGGAACATTAATGTTCTTCTCTTGCAAACAGGAAGTCATGAAAGCGTAGCTCATCTCAATGGGGAGATAACGTAAATACAAACATGTATTAAATATAATGACGTCCAAGTCAACATGCACGCTGCTCATTAATAATATGACTTATGAGAATAGTTTACAAAATGCAGACTCTTCCTTTTTATACAAATAAACAAACAAGTAATTCATGTGGTGAAGCAACACTTAATTTCTGTGTCATTTTACCCTTCAGTCTAAACTTGCGCTGAACTTTGGAAGCATGATTGAAAGGTCAAGAGCAATAAACCCATCAAAAGAAACACGCCTGGAAAGCTGGTTTCACTCTGCAGTGGAGACAGTGTCATTACAAACAACTTCACAGGCGTTCTAGTCATTTTTTGGGTAATAAGCATCACATGCAACTCAAATTATACGTTTTCACACCACTGCTACATTGTCCACCCAGGTTTGGAGAGCATGTACAATTTATAAATGAAAACTGTTTCTCTCTGTATTTCTCCATAAAACTCAGAGCGATCAAAAATCTCATTGTCAGAGCTCGCTTTTCTTCTCTTGTCAAATTAATAATTTAATTGCCCAGATCTGTCAGACATGTCAAAAGTCAATCAATTAAAAGCAGTTTTTAAAACTGATTTTTTTTTAAATGGTATTGGGTTTTGTTTGGTAAATCAAAATAAATCATTTGAACTAATATAAGATCAGTTTTATTTGCCAAATTAAAAGATGTAACACACTCAATTTGACAGTATCTGATCTATAAGGTTATAAAAAGATGTTTTAGATACAAAATAAATCATTTGAACTTTTACAAATGTATGCATTTTATTACATAGATAGATAGATAGATAGATAGATAGATAGATAGATAGATAGATAGATAGATAGATCGATCTATAATATGCTCCTAATATTAATAACTACTTAAATATTTCAGATATTTAAAGTTAAAGTCTGTAAAGAAACTTCAGAATCAGCCAAATTATCATTATTCTTTGGAAATAAACAATATTTTCATTTCTACCAACTATTAGTCATCATTTAGATACATTTAATTGCCCCACATTTGGGTTTTATCGTTTGTAATGTGTGATGTAAAGAGCTTCTAATTAAAATAGGGTCCCTGAGGGGGCCGTGTGCTGAGATCCGTAAGGGGCCCCGAGGGTGTTAATCCTGCTTTGACATGCAGGGTGGGGCGCTCACACAATCAAAGCATCGCAAACAAAACCCGTGCTCGACTAAAATGTAATAATATTTTAATTGCATGCTTAAGTGCAATTCGTGGAAAAGCGAATATCTCGAGATATTTTAATATCTTGGTTTTGACAAGAGCAGACCAACAACAGGTTAACAAAAACCATTGTGCAGAAAACGTGACGTCGGCGTCGTTTACCTGGAAGCCAATAAGAAATAGTTAAAGAATCTAATGTTATAGGAAGAAAATAAATCGACTCTTTATGCGGTGGTTATCAAAAAAGGAAACGGGTAACTTGTTTTTGGATTTAAATCAGATTGCAGAAGTGTGTGGTTTTGGCCTGGTCCGCTGCTCCTCTCACAGTGAGCTGTCAAAATCAGGCGAGGCGTCACAGGCTGACTTCGCTGTTAGCATTAGCCCGCTGGCAGTGACTGATCAATTTTAAAGCGGTTATTTGGGTTTCAACTTAACCATCGCATCTCTATTAACGTTAAAACACAGCGTAAACGTACTCTCACTGAAACACAAACAGAAATGTTTCCGTGTGACGCTCCGTCACTGATAACCATCTCGCTACGGACATGCTAACTGATTAGCCAGCTAAGGTTACTGATGATCAGTGACGAACCAACACAGGAGTCTTTGCTATCAACAAAAATAAAACCACCCGCGGTCCTTACCGGCTCGATATAAAGACACGCCGCTTCTCAAGTAAACTCGGCTCTTGTTGACGTCTCAGATAAACATTTGGTCTGTATTTCGAGACATTTTCTCAGAGGGCAATCCTTCACTGTAACGATAACGCTTCCCCCCTTCCCAGTCTCTCAGCGTGGTTGCTAACGTTACAACTGTCTCCGCCCCTTTTCGTCACAGGATACGATGGTCACACGATTTAGTGGAACACCGGTGTTGTGTGAAATACAATAAGCGTTAAATTCATAAACAAATCGTTAAATAAATTAATAAGTAAATTAATTACTTAATAAAAGTAAATTAATTACTTAATAAACCTAAAAAACCCCAGAAGATTAAAAATAGAAAAACAAATTCTGCCTATCCAACTATACAACCTCGTTTATTTGCTTTTTTTTCTTTTTTTTTTCTTTTTTTTTTTTCAAATTTAGCAATAGGGGTATCCTTTTTCAAGTCAGTATTATCAAGTACAATGATTATTCTCATTTACAAATACTCTCATCGATGACCTAAATATCATTTAGGGAAATAATTAAACAATATAAATTACAATAAGTGTAAATTATATATAAGTTATTGATTAAGAATCAGTATCATGTAAAGAGTATTCACACAATAGTTAAATACATTGTGCAGTGAACCCATCCCAAGTGCCACCTAGTGTGAAAAAATTGGAATACCAACCAAACCAAAATTTCCCTGAATATTCCTTTACTGTCATCAATGTACTTGGTGAAGTTTTAAACGAGTTATTCTCTCTCTTTTTTCTATTTGTAGTTATGGGCAGAGGTGGTGGAGTACCCCCAAATTTTACTTGCATTTTATTTGTTTATTTAACGAGTTGCATGACTTCAATATATTTTTACTCATGTTTAATTAATTCAGCTATTTTGTAAAACGGGTACTCAAGTATTGAGTTACTTATCATAATATGTGATTTCATATTTAAAATTGTATCATCAGAGAAAGATTACAGCAAGGAAAAGTATTTCAAATGATAAGATGTATGTTCACTTTACCGCCATACCAAATGGCATAAAAAGCTAAAATGGCCGTAGAACAATGAAGCTTGTGCACAAATGAAAGGAGTTTTGGGTGCATTTTTGGTTAAAAGTGCAGGAGATAAATTTACTCCTGCGCTAAGGCAGGAGTAAATTTATCTGTGGCATAAAATAGAGAGTTCATATGGTTATTTGCTGTGTTTATATATAAAGGAAAACATGAAGTTATAAGCAGTTCTATATGTGCTAATGGACAATACCAGAAAAGAAAAACAAGACCAAAAATAGTTGCTATAAAGAAGAAAGAACTTAGAACAAAAATAGAAAGTTAATATGTGCAAAATCTGCAGCAAAAATGGAAAAAATGTGAAATAAAGAAAAATAATGGAGTAATAATGGAGTGAGGAAAAGTCATATTTATGTCTTCTGTTAACAACAGAAGACATAAATATGAGAAGGCAATTTAAAAATATATATTCTTCAAAACTTTATATGTTTGGATCACGTTTAAATAATTTTTGTCAACATCACTTCTTAAGCATGTACCTCATATTTTCACCTAAATGCCTTTAGAAGCACTTTGTACTATGCATTTATTTTAAATTTATATCATTATTTTTTATGTGGAGTTGTTGTACTGTAAGGAACTCATCATTATATTCATGTGTAAGAAATGCTTGAAGTACTTCCCTTTAAAACAGACTGAATCAAGCACTGCAATACTACGCAAAACCAGAAGAGGGCGCAGAAACACCACTAAACAACCACAGACTTGAGGTTGTGCTTTTATTTTGAAGGCAGTCCTGGTTGAGAGCTGAGCGCGTGCAGCAAGGCTCGAGTCCTTCACTCGTCAGTTACCAACCACCGAGGTCACCGGGAGTAGTGGACGAACAACCGGGCGGAGTCAGTGAGAGAACCTGAAAATGTACCGGTGATATGTCTTATATTCCTACCGTTTAACATCCAGACTGGAGATAAGCCGATAATTAATCCGCGGGGTTGTTTATTTTTAGCTAATTTAAGTAAATTAGCCAGTCTGGTGTAAGTTAGCCTTTAGCTATGCTGTCAGGCCGTGTATTCCCATTATTTCTGGACCATGTGCTAATGTCATTATCAGCTGCAGAATTAGTGTCACCCAACAAGCTTTAGTTTTAGAAATATATTTTAAAAAAGGTTAAAAAGAACCGTGTGGCATATTAGTTGTTTTGAGTGTCGCAAATGCGAATGTCATTGCTTTTTAATTACTATGATTTATTTTCTAGTTAAAGTAGTGACAGTATTCATACCTTCCAAAAGTGTTTTAATGTAATGTTTCTATTTATTTTTGGTAAACTTGTGATAATAAGAACACTGAACAAAAAAGTTCGATGCAGAATTAAACTTCAATATTTTAAACTAAATATAGGGATTTATTAAATGTATAATGTTAAATAAAGAGTATAGTTCGTTTCAACTTTCACGTTTTTTCAGTTTGCTGGTTATTGAACCAGTAAAAGTGAAAATGTAGGAATAAGTTTACATTACAAATAGAACATCATTTTGTGAGTTATATTACAAAATGATGATAATGAATCATTTCATCAAGTTATGAAATGATTCATTATTGTTTAAAAAATATATCTGTGCAAGTCAATATTATAAATAAAGCTGACCATCATAATTAACTATTTCTGTTTTTTAAAAAACAGATCAAGATCAATACAGATTTCCAAAGCAATGATGTAAATCTTGTGAATATTTTTTTTCTTTTTCTGAACTGTTTTTTCTCTTTGATTCTAAAAATCCTGTACATATTGTCTTATTGATTCCTCATGTTACAAAGCACAGATATGTAGAAGTATTTTATCAATCACTAGAGAAGTAGTTACAATTTCCCAGCAATCTGATGGAGGCAATCCAGTTAAACTTGCAACGAACAGAAAAAGTAATTTCATCAAACTGGATGTGGCATAGTGTCCTGAACATGTTGCTATCTTTTATGTTCATTTAGATATTTTAGCAGAAATAAAGTCCAAACGCCTGTTTAAGCAAACTGGTTTTCAAAATATTGAGTGATATCTGTATACTGCCGTTCATCCATGGTGTTTTTTTGGTATTTGCACGTACTGAACATCTGAGGCTTTACATAACGCCATCATTATATCCCCTCCTGAGCCCTTTGAGGTTAAATCTCCTCTGCTGTCGTCCTCAGCGGCTCCGGTGGAATGACGGCGAGCGCCAAGCTGCTGCCAAGTCATGGATAGAGCGCTGCCAAAATGACACACGAGACCCTGACGAGCTCCCAGTTGTCTCTCAAGGCCGCAGCTTTGCGAATGGTTGACCTACCGCTGTCCGTCTACAGCTCCCTGACACAGGTAAGCATGAGTTTTCCTGTGTGTTTCTTTATTTACAAGTAGATATCAGCATCATATTGTAGTCCATCATATTATGCAAATAGATTTGAGTTAAATTCAGGAGAAATAATGGAAGCATGAAACGCCAAACTGTTCAATAATAAGAGAATGGAGATGCAGCACCTGGATAGGAAGATAATTTAGATGATAAATATTGAAAAATTATGTTTATGTATATTCACTTAATGCATGCCATGAACTAAAACATATCCAAATTTCAAACAGTAATTCCAGTAAGCAGCAACTTAAATTCATTTTCTTGGTTTCATAAAAAAAAATGAATCTGAAAATCCCTTCATTTTCTGTTGAATATTCAGGCTTCCTGCAGCTGTTGTTTTTCTCTTGTATGTTTATAGTTCTGCTGGAAAAATAACCTAATGTCATTAGGAAAAACTTGATCCGTGCATCAGTAAATAATAGGGATTAAAATTCAGCTGTTGGTTTACTGTTTGTGCTGCACACAGTGAAGTTTGTCCACTGGCTATAAACTCTCATTTTAAAAGTGAAAGGAAAAGTTGCAGCATGACTGCAAAATAAGAGATTCGTTTCAGTCCAACACTCACAATGCTATAAACAGAACGGTTCTAAATTGATTTACTATTTTTCAGAGTAATTCAGAAACAGTAAGGCAGATTCTTCATTTCATTGTTTGGCGTTTTGAAGAACATGAAGTAAAGAATCTGGGTCCTGTAGTTCATGTAGTCGGTCGTTTTCTGACATTGAATGTTAATTTTTATCCTTTTTAATAAAGATTTCTGTGGCTTTAAATAAGTTATTCTGAAACAGCTTCAGAATATTTTTACTCAAAAAGGTAGCCGTCCAAGAAATTAATCAAGTAAGGCTAAAAAGGATTTTTGTAAGAAGGCTACTTATGTACTGAGTAACAGATCAGAACAGCTGATTTAATATTTTATAACTGTGGCACCAGAGAGAAAAAAATGGGTTATGTTCAAACTAGTCAGGTGTTTTAAAGACTAAAATTAAACGCACTAATAAATTAATTACAAATTAAGCAAGGAGAAAGACATTTCTAAGATAAAACTTATGAAACTAATGCTGACAGTAAAAAATGTATATTTATCTAAGTAAATCCAGCGATAATATATAGTGTTTACTGAAACGTTTTGACCTATAAGTGGCACAACAGACTCGACAGACGGAAAATAACATTTAAACAACAAAGCTTGTGTACAAACAAGAGGTCTCACTTCAACATAAACTGTAGGTTTGTCTCTGTGTCTCATGCATGTTCAGTTAAAATATGTTTTTCATTCAGTGAAGTTACTCACACTGGGTAGAGTTTACAGACATTTTACTCAACTAAGAGTAGCTTGTAAAAAAACGATACAGTAAAGCTGTTTCCAAAACAGTTACTCAGTTTAATCTAATTAGTTACGACCTCTGCAGAGGAAGTTGTCCAAGATGTCTAATAAAATTTGATTTAAGGAAAAATTATTTCACAGTTTGTATTATAAACAGCAAATTACTTATTGTTTTCTTTTCTCTTGCAAATGGAAAAGCGTGCTTTACTGGATGCATAGGACTGCAAATCAATATTTATCTCAGATATAAAACAGTTTCTTTTTTTTGCCAGCTGTAGACAAGAAATTGTGTAAATTAAGACCCGTGTTAACAATGTTATCCTGCAGTTTAACAAACCAGCTTCCTGGGTTTTTCCCCTTAGATGGTTTTACTTTCACATTTGCTTCTGTGTGTCCTTTGGTTTAGGAAATGTCCCGTAGTTTCCATTAGATACCCA